ATATATATTTTTAAGGGCAATTCTGGAAATTGATTTAAAAGCTCAGCAACACTTTGTTAAACGCTACATGAAGTAGCTTTTAGATTAGAACGCTTTGTTTAAACTAAAAGGTAAACACTCGTACTGCCAAACGAAACTTTTTTGTTTATACTATAACGTTTTGTCAAAAACTAGAAGTTAGAAGCTCTCAAACTCTCTCAAATGCCTTGTGACAAACACGCTCATAAGCATACAATTAAATATGTATGCTCAATATTTTCCATTTCTTCAAATGTATTTAATTTGGATGGAACGACTTAATTAACGAAACCAAAAAACCAACCTTTTATCTATGTGTCTTTTTTCATCGTAACCTTTTTCGCGTGATAAATAATTAATATTATTAACAGTAATAAATTTTGTAAAATGTATTTGTAACAATGGTTGTTAAAGAACCAAAAGAATATGAATAATGGCTTGTTTATGTTCGTTCTTTTAAGTTAGTCAATCAAACGAACGGACGCGAACGCGTTTTTTTGTTCATGTTCATTCATTTAACAAATTACATTGTTCATGATCGTTTGTTTAGGTTCGTGAATATGCTAATCGAACATAAACAGACATAAACGAATGAAGATAAACAAACACAATTGAACATAAACGAACATATAATATAATAATATAATAAAAAACAATTAGACATATATGAACATAAAAAAACTTAAACTAAAATATAATATAGTAATGTAATAAAAAACAATTGAACATATGTATATAGATAAACTTAAACGAAGAAACATAAATAAACAAACAAAACCATTGTTTATGTTCATATATATTAACTATATGAATGAAAATTTGTGTTCTTTGTTCTTTCAATTATTAAATAAAAGAATTTCTCACCAAATGGTTCACGAATAGATTTTTAAACATTCAATTTGTTTACGGCCCTAAAAAGCATAATAGACATTTAGTTTTTCAAACAAACTTATAGATATAACTCAGTTATAGAGAATATTCATGAAATAACTAGAAAATGGGGTGTGTTTGAAAAATATGACCAATAAAATTGAAGTTTCACAAAATGACCAAGCTCCTCAGAGAGGATCTATAATCTTTTTGGCTCTGCGGAACCCAAATTTCTCTGAGGAATTAGACACGTGTGCAAAAAGATAAAAACTGATTTCTAAAGTGACGGTTTTGCAGAGACGGTCACTGTGGAATTGGTACGTCTTCTGCGGAAATGTGTCTCCCTCTACGGAATTGAAAAAACATTAATTAATCTAGAAATTGAAAAAACCATATATATTTTTTTAAATACCACGTTTCCGCAGACACTACGGATCCAAAGTGTAGCCCTTTGTGGATCTGTTTTACCCTCTCAAGAATTGATCTTCGCTGAAAATCTTTGTTTTTTGATGAATTTTGCCATAAAACACTTCAAATTACTCGTTCAATCGATTATCCGTCTTTCTTCTGCAGCCAACGAACTCATTTTCTGCAGCAAAGGCTTTCCCAATCCGCAATGATTTTTTTGATATTTTATTTATGTGTTTTTACGATTTTTCCCCTGCCACATTATATCCTCGAGCTTATATGCTTCCTCGGAGCCAAAAAGATTTCCTCAAAAAACCCTGAAAAAAACTTGATCATTTTATAAAACTTCGATTTCCTTTGTCATATTTTTCAAACACATCCCATTTTTTTTTGTTTATTTGATGAATTTTCCGATACTTATTATAAGTGATACTAAGAGACATAGATGTATAAACTTATCGATACAGCCTCTTAGTTGGTTCTGGTAAAGGCCCACATTCAATCCAGCCCATGATCCATACAGAAGGTCTAATTTTCAGCCTCTTTTATAAAACGAAATTAGGGTTTCCATTCTATTTCAGTGGAGTTTCCAAACTCTATTCCCAATATCTGCCGCAGTTTCTGATCGGAGTTTGCTTTTAAGGTATGTATAATCGCCGTTCGTCTCTGTTTAATGTGTTCTAATTTCCTATTAGATTTACTCTACTGAACTTGCGATCCGAAACTGTTGGTTATTATACAGGAACAATGACAACGAGATTGAGGAAGAATCGTAAGAAGCGCGGCCACGTGAGCGCCGGGCACGGTCGTATCGGAAAACACCGAAAGCATCCCGGAGGTCGTGGTAATGCCGGAGGAATGCACCACCACCGTATCCTCTTCGACAAGTACCATCCTGGTTACTTCGGTAAAGTCGGTATGAGATACTTCCATCGCCTCCGCAACAAGTTCCATTGTCCAATCGTTAACGTCGACAAACTCTGGTCCATGGTGCCACAAGATACAAAAGAGAAGGCTTCAGCCGATAACGTCCCGATTGTCGACGTTTCTCAGTTTGGTTACTTTAAAGTGTTGGGAAAGGGAATGGTTCCGCCGTCACATCCGATGGTGGTGAAGGCGAAGCTCATTTCCAAGACCGCTGAAAAGAAAATTAAGGAGGCTGGTGGTGCTGTTCTCCTTACTGCTTAGGTTTGTTTATCAGTTGTTAAGCCAGTTTTGATTATCAGATTAGGGGTTCATGAATCATGGATTATCACTCTGTTTTGTTGAAATTGAAATTGAACTATATGCATCGTTATTATATTGATTTGCATCGTTATTATATTGATTTTGCTTGCATGATATCTCATTTTGATTAAAGTCGCTTCAAATCAGTAATCATTTCTTATGTTATAACTACATAAATTAAGCTTTGATAGTTGTCTGTCTCGTTTGATTACAGTTTCAATTTCTCATTGCTATAGAATTGGTAGATCGGTATCTTCAACTTAAGTGTGGGATGGGGATTGTAATTCTTTCTGCTCGATTCTTTTTACTGAAGTTGAATGTTTGATATTGAAATCGTTGATGAAAAACAGTATCGTTTGCTTTCTATGATCTAGTTTAGGGCATAACTTAATATTGGTTTTTTTGGTAAAAATCTGCAAAAAATATTTTCTTCCGTCACATTACTTACATTTACGTACAGAAAAGCGGAGAATAGATTAGAGGACTTGAGGGTTAGCCGCAAATGTAAACAATTTTGCAGATAAGTGTATCATTTTTTGTAAAATTAGAATGATTGGATCTTAAAAATACTATGTAATTTAGCAATAATGAGATATTATATATGAAAATAGGGTTTGGACCGAACGCGCGATGCTGTGGAATTCCTAGTATGTTCAAAAACGCGGTTCGACACCATACATACTACAAAGACTGATTAAACCTTATAAGGCTATCCGTTATACCAACCACTAACCATTATAGTGGTGGATGCCTTATCATCACCACTAAACCTATGGGATACCCACCAATACAACTCCACATCGTTTTTTTTTGTTTTTTTATTTAAATAAAAAATACAATAAAATAGGGCAAGTTTTGTTAATATGCGTAAATATAAGGACTGAAATTGGCAATTTCTGAAAGTTTTGATCATCTCTTTCTCTCAAATCGCAGAACCCGACGCATGCCCTGTTGCTCCTCTTTCCCTATTGGTCGTTTACTTTCGTCGTCTGCACCACAATTGAGCACGACCACGGCCGACCATGAAAGGTCGGGATGGTGTGGACGATGAACTTCCGTGGCCACGTAGACCACGACCTTGCTCGTCATCGGTATACCAGATGGTCTAAAGAAGCACACAAAAAGATCAAAATAAAATTTAGATACAAACAATTATGTACATAGGAGGCGGACCAAAATAACGGAAATAAGACTTGAAAGTGTGTTTCGAAAAAGGATTATTAAAAATGTATGTAAGTGGTAAAAATATAACTTTAAAATATAATAAAGGAGTAAATCGTAATGTATAAAATACTAATAATTTAATTTTAAAATTATAAGGGGTGAAAAATGTTAAATAAAAATTAATTGAAGGGGAAAAGTGTAAATATGAAAATCTTCTATGACCAGAATCTAAATGACTATTAACAAAAAGAATGTTGTTTTACGCTTTATAATACATGCTTGATAATATACTAGAAAGGTTACCCTGCTACGCGGGGGCCAGAAGCTTTCAATGTTGTTTCCGAATTGATAAATATGACAAACATAGAAAGTGGAAGGATGAAAAGTCCGGGTTTTGCCCCGGACAAAAAATGTAAAAGTTTTGACTGCAAGGACCAGAAGTG